TCTATTAATACTTTGATGCCAGCACGTCACAATCTAGTAATTTATTACATTCCATTTCACTACATTACCTGTTTAACAATTTACAGCAGCAATGAATTAGAGACTGGAAGGCTGGTCCCACTGTGGGAGTGTGGTGTAGACAGCACTGACTGCAGGAGGGAGAGATCGGAGGTTTGGTTCGGGGAACGGTGCCAGAGAGAGAGTCTGATTGTGCACATGTGTTCTATGCTGGCTATAATCGCTCTCTCCCCTTCATCAGCAGAAGCGTGCGGGGGCCGTGGTGCCTACACACAGACTCATCCGGACTGTTGGGCAAAAGATGACCAGAGGACGGACAGGAGGAGAATCAGTGTGTTTGTTTGACGCGCTATGGAATAACTTAAGACATGTATTTAAACACATTGAAAAGTTCACCTGCCACACACAACATGAGACATGACGTGACCAAGTGGCAGCCTAGCTTGACGTCAGCCACTGGCAGAGAGTTTTGAATTTGATCAGTGCCATCTTGGCGGTCTGACCTCTCACCTGTCAACCCGAGGACTGTAAACAAGCTCACCTACACCGGCTGCTGACCACATCAAGCTCCTGACTGCACTGAGAACTAGCTGCTAACACAGTCAGCTTCCATCATCCAAGGGTTGGTATTGTTTAAGTCATCTGAAAAGCCAGTGGGGCACATGTCCACATATTTCAGTGGAGTAATGAACTGTAGCTGAAGTTAGGATGTAAACTAAAGTTAAATAGTGTATAAAATATTTTTTTAAGCTGTGTTTTAATCCGGACATGATGAGATGTCAGAACAGATACGAGCTGCTACATGAACTGTGATGAATAACAGCTCCTGGACTGTTTGCATCTTTATCCATCACTGTCTTTGCACACTGTTAAACATTTTAAATGTAAGAGCAGCTTCTGTTTTCCACCCAGGTCCAAGATTGTGTAGTTCCATTTTTGGGGAGGTGCACATCAGGGTAAAGCATAGGGTACACTTCTACATGTAGGCTACTGCATAGCTTCGATACAAAAGCATGAATTTGCCTTTACAGTGCACAGATGACTGCATCATGTGCTGTACGGTTCATATATATAGTCCTCTTCACTATTTTCTACCATCTTCCTGCAGTGAAGATCATTTTTGCATTCATCCACAACTGTACTTCATTTTTCTGCTGGATTATAATATGAATTTATGTAGTTTAATGTGCAATAAAGTTATCTATAAAACTCTGTTTTATGACTCATGATTCTAAAGAGCAAGGGCACAGTAACAACAAGTAACAGTGATGACATGCACAGTATTGTAACCATACAAGAACACTTTGATGAATGTGTTTTTGGAATTTGGAATTAATCAGAATTGTATGACAGTAAAAAGATTAATACTCCAAAGTGTCCTGTTTGATTTATTATAAGGAAGAAAAGGGTGAATGTGCAAAAACGGCAAGTCATCTGTAGTCAGTGGAAATTTACTAAGTACAGTTTAATCATGTTGGGTACATGTGTTAAACACAAACTGTTCAATCACATAAACTGTGGCTTCAAAATTTAAATATGAGTTTGCATATCTAATACATACTTTCAAATTGTTAACAGCATTAAACATTTGTGATATAAATCACAATGAATCCAGGAACACTTCAGGTTGTACAGTTCCAGCTGTTTACAATTGAAGACTCTTCATGTAACATTGGTAAACACTTACCTGTGAAGGTTGAGACTACTGAAGTTGATCTATTTAATAATTTTCAAGTTACGTTTGAGAAATATTACTACAACCCCTAAAAACAGCAGAAATGAAGGAAAAGGTAAGAAACTGCACCTGAGAATATAGAGAATCAAACACAAAGTATCCAGTCTCTCTCCTCCACATGCTGACGAATGGCACCAAATATTCTGCTCCATACATGAGGTCGTCCTTCTGTTGACACCAGTCATGGAGATAGTTGGATGAGATCCAGTAGTTTCATGTTATCATCAACTAAAGCTTCAGTCCGTCAGCCTCTGGTAGATTCATTAAAAAAAAAAGTACAAAAGCATGTGACCATAAAATAAGATCAAAGTACAAATAAAGACCCTGGCACCAAGAAATCCAACAACCACAGCCTAGGAGAAATCATAAAACTGAATCTAATGGAGTAAACTCACTGTCTGGTGTTTTTTCTACACAGTTAGTATAATCTGACAGCTTCACAACAGAGCTACAGTAACTTTAGGGTTGGGTACCGTTCACATTTGAACTGATACTGGTGCTGGTACCTGGAATTCCGTCCCGGTACCTAACAGTACTTTATTGTTATGTTTAGGAAAAGAAGGTTTAGGTGAGTGTCGGTTTTGATTAACCATGTTCTATGGTTTTCTGCAAACCTCCTGCTGCTTTCACTCCAAAGCTTGAGGTTAAAATTAGCTGCTGACGCTCGGACTCACAGAGTAACATGGTTTTGAGCAAGCCCTAGGGGAAACAGAGCGAAAGAGAGCATGTCCATAAGTTCTATATTGTTGCTTCAGATGCATGTCAACTGTCAGACTTTCGATTTGCTTAAACCATGTGTGTGCAAGTGCAGTCATTTTGCATTCGTTAATGACAATCTGTTTTCTCAGTCAGTGAAAGCCAAAAGATGACGGGGATACAAAAATACCCACTGAACACAATGGGCCAATATGCGTCCACAGATGATTAAATAACAGCAAGGCCACCCTTAAGTCCTCACTGATGGAATAACAATCACAGCAACAGCGACAAGAGAAAGAGAGATGCAATGAGATGATGAAAGAGATGGAGATAATGGGAAGACATGCCGTTATTGTTGGAATTTTTCCACGTTGAGGGTCACACCAGGTCTGTCAGACACTGAAAATAAAGGACATAAAAGCACTTTGACTAATGCCCTCCCTGCAGTTGCAAATGGTGCCAGTTAATTAAAATTCTGTTTAAAGGTGTTGAGTAACACAGAGGCACAATAACGCAACAATTGCCTTTGCTTGAAAGGTTAAAGAGGTCTGACAAAAAATAGAAACATTTTCTGATAATATGTATGACTGTTTCTAAAGATGGACAACCTTTAATCTACTTTTTGTCATTTCACAAAAATGAAGAGAAAATTGCTTGTATACGAGTGCTGCCATATTACACGTTTGGCGTCATTTGGAGACAAAGTCATGCAGTGGTGATCATGGTTTGAATCCATGGTATCAAAGTTTGGCCAATACACGTTTGACCATTGGACGTAATTCACAACTGTCACTCATAATGTGTCACCATCAAAACAAAACTTCTTCGGAAAACAAATATCAATGTGATAAAAACTACCTTAATTGACCATCTTTCAAATTATTTGGACATGTACCGTGACTTTTTATGTGATACATAAAAGAGGTTTGTGGGCTGAGTTGAAGCCAGCCACCAGGAGCTGATCGAGATGATTTGGCTTCTCTTTTGAGGAGCTGCAGTGTCGTCCATCTTCATATGAAGTCTTTATTAGAAACAGATGTAATGTTGCCATGTATCACAGAAATAGGAGAGGACCCACAGAAGCTGCTGGTTACGATGCAAATCATCCAGAATCCTGTACATTCTAAAAATGTAACAAAGTCATAATGTTTACTTTTGCTTTTAGCCATGCTGGTGGTATGTCTCTAGGAATTGGCCCTATCAGTATGGAAGTTGTTTGACCATGTATGTCCAAACTGTGGTTAAATTTAATGTCAATCAACAACTCCCACTCTCTTTTTCACATCACTCATTGGCTCCAGTCTTCAAACAAAATCATAAACAGATATTTCCATCTCCATTTTGGGGAGGCTTACCATTTCCCAGCATCTTATTAGGACCACCTTATTTGCGCATGCACACAGTTTTTTTGACGAATTGACGCCAGGGCCGGTGATTTGATAAGATAAGTATTTAATGTATATTTTTATGTATAAATTTAACTCTGCTTAATTAAATCACTCAAGTTTTTTGATTCATTCATATGATAGAAAATACAGTTACATAGAAGTTTAATATGCAATTGAAATACATATAGTCTAAGTGCAGGAACCGATTCAATACCCAATGTCAGATCAAGAGGCTGACAGCTGCTGCTTACTTGGACATCCCTGCCAGATCACAGATTTTAACCAATCTGTTAATCTGTGAAAACCTGAGACCAGATGAGATTAAAGACAGATAGTTTGTTTTGCAGAATGCATTAGTGTCATTCATGACAAAAAAAGAAACATGTCACAGAGCAACAGTACCATCTGCGTAAGCTAAAATTACTAATCTAAGTTTAATTATGAGAAATTGACGGAAAATCATTTTTTTATTTTGATGGACAAGAAGAGGAGAATATGATGAGATAATGAGTCTTTGAGCATTCAGACTGTGGGAAGCCTGAACAAAGTAGCCTCTAAAACTTGTAGGAGGCATCCATCCAGAGTTTATTGTCCAAAAAAGTAGTTTTAGGGTTGTGGAGGCCTATCCCAGCTAACTTTGGCTGAGAGGTATACCCTGGACAGGAACAGAGAGAAACAAACAGTCACACCTTTGGTCAGTTAAGAGCCTCCAATGAATCTATCACCACTCTGCATGTCTTTGGACTGTGGGGGGAAGCAGCAGAAAAAGACCCGGGGAAAACAGGGGGAGATCATGCAGACTCCACAGATTCCACACCCTAGCTGAACTGGTAGGCAGCTGTGTTAACCAACGCCCCCTTCTCCCTCCTTAAGGTTTTAAGGCAGCTGCTTAAATAGTCCCTACTATCAGCTTAACTATTCATGCCTTTTCTAGAATCAAGGAAGTGGAAGTTATCCATTAACACAAAAGTTTACTTGCACTTGTCGCAAAGCATATGTTTAGCAGCTTTGATTGCTATACAAAGAATGCAACACAATTCTCACAAAAGCCTCTTCACCTCCCCTCACACATGGTTGCTCCCAGTGACATCACTGCTGATGTCACCAAAGGTATAAATATAGGAAGTGTTCAGGTGACTCATTCCAATGCTAATGCAACACATGGTTAAAAAGGTGAAAATGAGTTCTCACTCAGAGAGAACAAATGAAAAGAATACGACGTTTATCTGGATTTCAACTGTCTATAATTTCATTGCAAGGCTGTGAACAAATGTGAGAAGGTGTAAGGATGCACAACTGCAAACGATTCAGTCGAAGTTGGACTTTCTTCAGTGCAGAATAAAAGGTGAGTACCAGTATGCTTAAGTAACTTAACATAATGCAAAACACAAACAGACCCACATTTATGTGTGCTGTGTCACAGTGGTTTTATTTAATTACTTAAATACTTAATTTTCAGTTAACTAGCGCTATATAATCTGTAAAGTTTCACATTCTGAATTGATGTGTAGGATAAACAGGACGTTTTGCTCCACATTCCTCTCACCAGAATGCACAGCATCAAAGAACAGCACGGTGGCACAGAAGAGAAGTAAGAATCTTGTGCCATGGAAATAATGCAGGTGGACGGGGACAAAAGTCGTCCAGATGGTGTATGGCATGGTGCTACTGCTTGCGAACACAAAGGCTTTGGTTTAGATCTGAACAAAACAGTCGGGACCTGAAATGGTGTCTGCAGATGTTCACAGTAACACAAAGCTGATTCCATGTGTATGAAAGTGATAGTCCACTCACAGTCTAACAAGCAGTTGGATCCAGGTTCCCATACTTGTGTAAACTGTGCATGAGCTTGAATAAGGTTGATGGATTTGGGCCATATCATAGCTGCATGTACGGAGAGTTATAATCATTGTGAATATATGGAGCCAAAATGACTACAGGTGCAGTTATCTGCAAATGAAGAAGCTCTAAACAGAATACAGATATGGTTTAGGTCTGCTGGGAGTGAGTGGGTGTTCGATGCTCTAAAGTTTCTTGTAAAACAAGGAAAAATATTTGTCTCAGCAAATTAAGTGATAAACTGGCTTAAAGCAAGTGCATGCTATAGCTGCATGCTCAAATTAACAATTGAGGAGCCCTGCCTTCAGTGCTTACTTCACAACACTGATAGCAAACCACACACTGGGAAGAGGTATTCCCTTTTTTCTGTTTTAAACGCTCTGCCCACCTATAGAGCTGTTTTAATGCTGGCTTCTGATAATCAAGTCAAATATACTTGTCCCCATTTTTTTTTCTTTGGGCCAAAGTGCTACAGCAGCTGCAGAACAGTACACTACATACACAGTACATAAAAGAAACAGTGGGACATATCGTGTAAGCCCCGGAATAATAATGCGGAATAAAAGTGAGTTGAGTATTGCACCTGACAGATGACTCATTGGCCCCCTGAGCAGTCAGTCATGACCTGCAGGAAGTCATCGCAATTAGATGCCAGGGACCCACTTCAGGGATTAATGAAAAGCAACATTGGCATCTGAAGCATTGTTATACTGGCTGTCATGTGTTCAGAAAGGACTGAATAAAGAAAGAAATAGCAGTTGTCATTGCTCCACAAATCTTTCCTCTGTAGATCAGTCCCAACTGTCGGAGCACAAACAACAATCATTGATAGTTTTGCCGATACAGAAATGATGTGTATGTGATGAAGAGTGCTCTGTGCGTATAAGTTGTTGTCCATGAGACATGCTATATGAGACAGTTGTCCTAACTGATTTCTGTTCTTCCTCCCTATGCCCCAAGTCAAGAGTTTCTGACAACACTAAATGTCCCTTTTGAGAAAGAATCAAATGTAACAACGTTGTCCAACTTATCAACTTGCACAGCCTCTCCAAAAAAAAGTCCTGTCATTGTTGGAATGTTTTTCTTTTGTCCAGTGGTCATCACGCTTGAACTACTGGCCAAACTGTCTCCGACAATTTCAGGGGGTGCGGTTCCGTTTCATGTTTTGGAGTTTTGTCTTAATCTGTAAGCTTTCAGAAGACATTAATTATGGATGAAATAAATGCAGAGTATGGACAGAAGGCTCCGTCCATATCCATATCTAAGTATCTAACATAGAGCATAAATAAGACGTTAGAATACTTTACTCATCCTGTGCCACATTCTAAACATTAGCAGCAGAGTGAAAGCGATGCCACCGGTTGTGTGCTCCCAGAGGCTCCTGAGTGAGCTCGAGGCAAGCAGCAAATTGAAAACACTTTTGGTGTGCAGGGTCCCAATGTATAAACACAGCATTCTTTTATTCTATAGCATCATATACTTAAAATAAACTTAAGATTGAGTGAGTGTTACATCTGGAGCTCTGGGTAATATTGTTGTATTTGTCAGGCTCAGGGGCTTTGCAAGTCGGAGTCTGATGGCAGTGTTTTCCTATTTTTTTTCTCAGTTTCTAGAAGCCTTTATGATTATGGTTGTGTGATATGATCCCACAGACAACAATTCAGCAAAGATTTTGCGGTGCGACATCACTACATAAAAATGTCTGTCCAACGGTTTCTGTGGAAGTCAAAGCGACGAAATTGAAATGACCTTTTTTAATACCAGTTTTTGGTCTAACATTTATAAAAAAAAAGTTAATGTACCAAACTGTTGTTTGGCTGCTTCATATCATTTGGTTTAATAAAGTGCATTGCAGATGTGTGTCACTTTAGATGCACTGTGCAGATGGTGGAGCTGTGTTTGACATCACAGGCGTGTGTCTTGTTGGAGGTGGATTTGCACAGATGACATTCTATGTAACTTACTTGTTAGTGGAAAGCTATAAATGTGTGCAGCACCCAGGTGGGAGGTGTACATGGTATCACAGGCTCCCATGTGACATTGTTCCTGTGACATTGGAAGTGCAATATTGCAGTTGTAAGTGGGTTTTGCAAGTGTCTGATGTGCTGTTTTTCAGAACATTCACAACATCACATTGTTGGAAGCACATTCAAAGGTGTAAGATTTAGGTTAAAGGGATCTATTGGCAGAAATTTAATGTAGAATAATCCTTTCACTAGTTCGTTTCATCTAAATTGTATGAATTGTAGTTTTCTTTACCACAGAAAAGACCCTTTATATTTAAATGCTTTATATTTACATCGAGGGGGTCCTCTCTTTGGAGGCCACCATGTTTTTTACATTAGTCCAGACTGAACAAACTAAACACCTTTTGAGTTTTTATGACAACTGAAGCTACCACAGGTTCTTTTTCATGTTTGGAAGAAGAGGGTGAGGTGAGGGGTGTTCAGCTGCAACATGCAACTTCAGCACTAGATATCAGAAAATTCTACACACTGTACCTTTAAAGCAGTTTAGGTTTGGATACCTAGTGAAAGATATGGATTGCACTCTTGAGTCTCACATTGTGTGATTGAAAAAACGGAACTATCAGTGACAGTTGGGCAGTAGAGGGCGCTACTGAACTGGCCCACCACTACTCAACCTCACATGGGAGGAATCGCAAACCTTGAAAGAATACTACGACTTTTTAAAAACAATTTCCATGTGCATTTTTAAATAAGCCAAATACAAATATGATACAAGTTTATTGTGTAAAGTGACACTCTTCAATATAAATGTAGATGGTCAAGTAGTTCCTGCCTGAGGTCCAAGAATCGCTTCCTGTTAATTCTTGTTATAATTCAAACTTGTATTTGCTACTCTCCATTATGAGAGACTACTGCACTGCCCATTGTAATCACGCCTGTTTGGAATGGGTTGTTCTCTTGGCCTGTGTTAATGCTCCAGAGCTACTTCTGAATTATTCCTTGTCATTAGTTAGTCCTCCTCAAACAGTAATACTCTATACTGTCACTTTTTATTGTTTGTGTGCTGTATGTTGTGTACAGAGTTTTTTAATAAACAGACTATGGTGCAGAGTAAAGTTAGACAACTTGTGTGTTTATCATTCCTGGTTTATCTGCAGTGAAGATTTCATAGTCGATATTGTTTATAAAACAGAACTGAATTTGCTTAATTACTGATCACATATGTATCTTATCTAAAAGTTTGAATTATTAACTTAAATAGTGTTTTTTCATACATTGCATGTTGGTTGTTAAGCATTCGACACAATCTTCTCATCCAAGTTTCACACTTGATTGGGCAATTAGCACCACAACTGTTTATATGGATGATTTTCAATATTCCATAAAAGTTGTGATAAATTTTGATGGAAACTTAACTTATAAACTTAAACTTGACTTAAACAAAAGCCAGTGACCAAATATTGTCCTGATTTGGTATCCATTATAACTACAATCCCAAATTAATGAAATTCCAAATGATGGTGATCATAAAGCCCATAAACCTAATCACATGATTGAATTGGCTTGCAAAACTTTAAGCATATTGGTTCATGAAGGGGAACTAGAGTACATCTAAATGACTTTACAATTCAAGCAAATGTCTGCAGTCATCCCAAGCTGGCTGTCTTTAGAACAAACAAAGACACGTCTAAAAAGAAATTGTTAGATGGTTTTATTCATTTGAAAATGTGTTCTTTCATCTCCACTCCTGTTCATTTTTTTTAAAAGTAATCATAAATGTCCTACAATTGCCCATTTATGTATGTCCAACCTTTTGAGACTTTGTTAAGTAACCACCAGAGTTTCAACATCTCATTTCCGCTTCACTCTCTTCCTGGGCAAAATGATATTAACACAAGTATTAGCAAGAATGGTGTGAGGACTCTGGCAGAGGTCAGTGAGATGAGCTCGAGCAACTTGGGGATTTCGCCACCGGACTTGACAGTGGGTTAATCCGCAGGGAAATTCACAAATCCAATTATTGTATCTAATTACTTTCTCCCAGAAGAAGACATTGTTGTTTCCCACTGTGGATATGTTTGAGTGAGGGTTTAATGGGACGCTCTCTGCTGACTGATCAGATTCACTAGATGGCTCATTCACTGTACCAAAAGTCTGAGACCAATATCCTGTTCACTAAGTGGTCTGACACCGTTGGACACCACTGTGTGGTTTGGAAGCATTTTCCTCATCAATATTCTAAGCACAACTTTAAATATTTCAGACCAGTGACTGGATGTTGTTTTCAGAAGACATAAGGAGAGGGGAGACTGTACATCCTCAAAGAACAGCATCAGTCATTTCTCCAAATGCCAGAAAACTATTGTATATGTTCAAAAAAACTAATGATGCTCACCAAGATAATAATCCTCTGTGGTTTTGAAAAAAATAATTTTTCCAATTTATTTATCGGCTGACATAGAGGTTTCTATCTGCTTGGTGCATGGCTGTATTATTATGTGCAACTCACCGTTACCTTCCTAAATGACTTTATCTA